GTTAGTTAACCGCCGCCCGGCGTTGGGCGTTGACAGCTGCTGACTGTACCGACTCACCAGGGATGTTGACCCTGGTGTGCACCTACGGTAGCAGCTAGAGGGCCTGGCCAGATGGAACAAGCCTGAGGCACAACTAGCTGGTCAGACAGTACAGCGAGGGAAAAAAGTATTTGATCCCCTGCTGATTTTGTACGTTTGCCCACTTACAAAGAAATTATCAGTTTATAATTTTAATGGTAGGTTTATTTGAACAGTGAGAGACAGAATAACAACAAAATCCAGAAAAACGCATGTCGAAAATGTTATGAATTGATTTGCATTTTAATGAGGGAAATAAGTACTTGACCCTTCTGCAAAACATGACTTAGTACTTGGTGGCAAAACCCTTGTTGGCAATCACAGAGGTCAGACGTTTCTTGTAGTTGGACACCAGGTTTGCACACATCGCAGGAGGGGTTTTGTCCCACTCTTCTTTGCAGATCTTCTCCAAGTCATTAAGGTTTCGAGGCTGACGTTTGGCAACTCGAACCTTCAGCTCCCTCCACAGATTTTCTTTGGGATTAAGGTCTGGAGACTGGCTAGGCCACTCGAGGACCTTAATGTGCGTCTTCTTGAGCCACTCCTTTGTTGACTTGGCCGTGTGTTTTGGGTCATTGTCATGCTGGAATACCCATCCACGACCCATTTTTAATGCCCTGGCTGAGGGAAGGAGGTTCTCACCCAAGATTTGACGGAACAAGGCCCCGTCCATCGTCCCTTTGATGCATTGAAGTTGTCCTGTCCCCTTAGCAGAAAAACACCCCCAAAGCACAATGTTTCCACCTCCATGTTTGACGGTGGGGATGGTGTTCTTGGGGTCATAGGCAGCATTCCTCCTCCTCCAAACACGGCGAGTTGAGTTGATGCCAAAGAGCTCCATTTTGGTCTCATCTGACCACAACACTTTCACCCAGTTGTCCTCTGAATCATTCAGATGTTCATTGGCAAACTTCAGACGGGCATGTATATGTGCTTTCTTGAGCAGGGGGACCTTGCGGGCGCTGCAGGATTTCAGTCCATGGCATCGTATGTTACCAATTGTTTTCTTGGTGACTATGGTCCCAGCTGCCTTGAGATCATTGACAAGATCCTCCCGTGTAGTTCTGGGCTGATTCCTCACCGTTCTCATGATCATTGCAACTCCACGAGGTGAGATCTTGCATGGAGCCCCAGGCCGAGGGAGATTTACAGTTATATTGTGTTTCTTCCATTTGCGAATAATCGCACCAACTGTTGTCACCTTCTCACCAAGCTGCTTGGCAATGGTCTTGTAGCCCATTCCAGCCTTGTGTAAGTCTACAATCTTGTCCCTGACATCCCTGTGAGCTCTTTGGTCTTGGCCATGGTGGAGAGTTTGGAATCTGATTGATTTATTGCTTCTGTGGACAGGTGTCTTTTATATAGGTAACAAGCTGAGATTAGGAGCACTCCCTTTAAGAGTGTGTTCCTACTCTCAGCTCGTTACCTGTATAAAAAATATCTGGGAGCCAGAAATCTTTGATTGAAAGGGGGTCAAATACTTATTTGCCTCATTAAAATGCAAGTCAATTTATAACATTTTTGACATGCGTTTTTCTGGATTTTCTTGTTGTTATCGTCTCTCACTGTTCAAATAAACCTACCATTAAAATAATAGACTGATCATTTCTTTGTCAGTGGGCAAACGTATGAAATCATCAGGGGACCAAATACTTTTTTTCCCCTCACTGTATACAGTATTACACAGACTGTTGAATTCACAGGCGTTCCCAGGCCAGCCGAGTAACAAAGTCCCGCCAGCGTGTTCTAGGACAGTCCTCAATCATTACAAATTAAATCTGCTCATCTGCAGCACAAAGCCCGCTCCCATTGAACTGTGGCACAGATTAAGTAGTGACCGTGTCAGCAGTAACGACATCTGTCCAGCGGCTGGACGAAGCACCGCGTGAAATCAGTGGAGGTAGTTAACATGGTGCAGTAACATCTGAGAGTTACCACTGAAAGTCTACAAAACAGAAGTGCCGAGGGCTGAGTCCATCTAGGGGAGGCCCAGGACCGATTCAGGTTTGTCACCGATGTTGGCTGTATGCGCGCTTTCAGAAGCGCTTCTGCGGCCGTCTGTAACGCTCTGCCCTTCCGTTTTTAGGAAGTCATTGGAGCCATGCACTTTGCAATCCTCATAGAGTTCGACTTAATTTAGAACTTTGTTTAATTTGTTGCCCTTTCCCGGCGCTTCAGATTATCACGGTTGGCCAAATACAGTGCCAAACAAGTCGGTGACGTGGGGCGAGGTCAATGGCTGGGAGGCACTGGCTAGGGTCAGAGCCAGATTCACACACTGAGGGGGCATGGCCTCACTTAGGGGGCGTGTTCTCACCGAGGGGGCATGTCCTCACCGTGAGGCAGATGTGATAGCTGCCCCCCTGGTGCTTTTTCATTGCAGTTTCATGACGAGACCAGCGAGCCTAAATATGTTTATACACAGTATTCAACCATTGACGAATAAACCGTCTTTATGAAGCACACTATTTGTATTTCTTTGCGACACGGTCCCCAACACACAAGGCGTATGACGGTCCCCTTACCCGATACCTGGGGAGGTATGGCCTCTGGACTTGGCGGGACCCATCACTGGTGACCCGCTAGCCTAACGTCCTCCAGTTGGGACCTAGGGGAGGCTGACTGACCCAACCACTCGGTCTGTGGGTCTGGACCACTGTCTTCACTGAGCCCCAGCCCTTATAAAGGCTATAGAGCTTGGGTCCAGGGTCCTATCTATCCGGGACCTATTCTCCCCCTGACCTCAAAGAGCTCCAGCCGTTAGGACTGTAGAGCTTGGGGTCCAGGGTCCTATCTTCAGCCCAGGCTTCAGTCTTCGTGTTGAGATAACCGAGCCAGAGCTCTCGGCGTTCTGGCTTTTATACCAGTTCGTGGCCTGCTCCGCCCAAGCCACGCCCCCTTTCTGGAAGCTTCTGGTTTACCCTGGGAGGTGACATCCCCTCAGGATCCGTCGTTTGGATCCGCCCTCACCTCTATTTGACCCCGGGTATATCCCCAGTGAGGTAACGCTGCTGCACCCTGTCGACACCCAGTGGTACTGCAGGTTATTGAATGCCGATTTGGCGATCACCTCCACACATACGTGAAATAAGTTGCCTGAAGTATGGAAGGCGAGGACATTAAATGAAGGGGTCTACAAACATTACATTGGTGAAACAGATAGTAACAGGCACACGCTTATTGCCCGCGCTCCATCCAATTACCGAGGGGTTGCGCAATCAGCGGGGAGGCTGAGCTCATCGCTTCCTGTATTTGCAGCGAAGCTCTGCAAATTTGGCGATTGACTAAAATTGATTGGAATCGTACAGAAATTACATTTATAACAGATCAGTGGAACAATCTTAATGTTTTTTTATGCAATTCCTTTTTTTCGTAACAGCTATTTTCTTTGGAGTATGACAGGCGAGGCTGCCTCCCCTGACCGCACGTCCCTGAAACACGTACGTACACATTACAGAAACCCACAGACACCCAGAGCCGTGAGGACCAAGACACCCACAGATTAACAGTGGGCAACGTACGGTAGGCCAAAGAAGTCATACATTCCAGCAGTGGATAAATCATGGCCAATGTTCACAGTTGTAGCCAGTGAGCGCACCTGCGATTAACCACTATACTAGTATAATGTTGTGCACTGTAGCATCTGGACGCAGTCTTAAGGTATACTTCGAGGTCTAGATGCTGGGTCGTCTCATTCCGGTGTTTTAGTGGAAAGTTGTGGCGATTTCTTTGAAACGACCGATAACCACTTTCCAGAATTTTTTTTGGGATGGGAGTGCTACAATTAGTACGATTCTGGAGGGTGAACGTATCCGGCGTGAGCTTACCTGCGACAAATCACGTGCACTCTGCGAATCGCTATACAGAGTCACGTGCATTTCATTATTATGATGATCGGGCGATGGTGATCAGGGATTGGACCCAGAGCCCCTACGTGGAGTATGAGGCACGCCCCAAATATAAATTCGGGGCCATCTTCTGGACCGGTAAGTTGCATGTTAAATGAACTCCAACAACATGTACCCTTTCTGGCAATATACAACTTAAAATTCATATAAATTTTACGTCAATCGACCAACAGGAACTCGGTCATGTTAAGAGACTATCGAGTTATTGGTGGAAATGAAAATATTGCACAAGACTTTGATATTAAAGTTGATTTCATTATTTAAATCACTTGTCTAAAAATAAATGGACAACACTGGCACTTAAATGCCATTAAGCAGAAGAATTCGGCTGTGGTGTTGCAATGGAGGGCATCTGATTGCTACAGCAGGTGCGAAACGTTCACTTAGGAGTTGTATTATACGAGTTGTCGCTTTTTCGCAGGAAATCAAAAAATGGCACCGTACCTCGTGGCGAGTTAAGAATCGGATTTACGCTTTCCTGGCAATAAGTCAGCAGTTGTGTTAAGACGTTCAAACGCCAAACAAACCTTTTGCAATGAGTCAAGTTACTGCATCTTCACCACAGGTTTACCGTGTGGCTAATACAAACACGCTCTCATAATTATCAGAGCATGCTCATTATTATTATTTTATATGGAATTGTCTTTGAAACAGATTAGCCTGCACCAGACGGCATTCCTCTGTAGGGCCTAGTCAGTGTCAAACCAGAGAATCCCAAAAGGCGAACAGTACAAGGGACAATGCACTCAGGATTATTTATAGCTCAGGCGAGAGGCTACAAATGGTAAATTTTAACATTGAGTGAAATGACGGAAACGACTTAACGGACTGTGCAGTGTGCACACAAATCTGGAAGAGATCGTGTGGGGTGGATGGAGAAAGGAGAAGTTGGTCGGGGAAGACAAATTCCATAATACAGCAGCAGGCATCATCAGGGAATCTAACCCACGACATCCTGTGTACCAGGCGAGGAAGTGACCATCTTGCCACGCACCCACACCATTTCTCTCGATATAGATAAAGTACACAAAGTACAAGTTTATTGAAAAGTCTTAAAACGTCACAGCTTTAGGTGCGTACGCAAAACACGTTTAACCATCCCCGTGTTGACTAACACGACCCAGTTCACTTACCCGCCCTGTAACTGAACAGGATTAAAGGGGGAACGGTATCGCGTACGCATAGCAAGATAAAAAACACATTACTCAGGAGACGTTCATGTCTTATTATTTAAGGAGCCCGGTTCACTTTATCCACACCTACACCCCAGGTAACGAGGGGGTGTAGCGGGTAAGCGGGGTTCATATAATCATTTTAAAAGCGTCTCGATACACGTTCACTTGCCCATCCTATACCTCGGAGAGGCTTCTGGACAACGGTGGCGTATCCACGCGGTAAAAGCATCAAAGTTTATTTATTTTAAAAAGGGGACTAATCTTTAAATGGTTCACTTATCCAACCTAGAGAAAAATGATAAAAGTTACTACAGTCTCACACAAAGGGAGGTAGACCTATCAGACCCAGATCACTTAGAACGGAGTCCTACCCAATCCCAACTATTCCCATGTCACAGGTAAGAGGGAGGATGGTCACAGGAGGGAGGTCACAGGATGGAGCAGACTTCACGATCCCTGCCCCTCTTGGGCTCCCTGGAGTAGGTCCAGCCACACTCCAGCGCGTAGCTCTCCAGGCTCTGCAAGAGAGAGCGAGCAGACGAGACGGAGGAGGTCTCCCAGGTAGCCGCCACGGGCTGGCTGGAGGAGGGTGTGCAAGTTGCTGTCGGTTGGCAACGATTTCAACAGCCACTTTGCCCTGCATCTTTACCCCACATCCCACTCTAACCCTTTCCACCTCTTCCCCCCTCACCTCCAGCTTGTCTCAGGTTGGAGATGTTCAGCTCCTGTTCCAAACTCTCCCTACCCCCCCCCCACTCATCCTCCACCCCCTCCCCCTCCCATTCACCCCCTCACCTCCAGCTTGTGTCTCAGGTTGGAGATGTGCAGCTCCTGCTCCCGACTTTTCTCCTCCAGACGCCGCTGCCGCTCAGCCATCTCCCTCTCCTCCACCGCCTTTTCTGCGGGGGGAGATGGTGGGGGGGAAGAAGCTAAAAATGCGCTGCCCTGCAGGCCGCCTACTTACCTGGGGGGGGGGGGGGATCTGGAAGTTTAAAAGAATTCTTCACAAGCTCAGGACTTCTCCGGAGTCTAAGAGATTCGGATCCGCTGGCTCCACCGTCGGCACGAGCCTCCACCCGTGAGAGTTGCCGCGAGATCTCCATTACGGCTCTCGGTCAACACCACCACCAACCCCCACCGGAGACCATTAACCGAACCGCAATACCCAGGGGCCGCACCTAGGTCGGCTCGGCCTTAAATTTAGTACCTGGGGTGCAGTGTAAAAACATGAACTCTGGAGAGACAAAGGTGGTCCGTGCATTTTTTAAAACTAGGATTGACAAGCCGATTTATTTTTACAACTACTTTGCGTTTGGTTTTTCGTGCGAAGTAAATGCACACAAAGCGCTCCAACAACAGCCGCCATTCACCATCACGTGGTGGTAACGTCACCACAGCGCCCGTGCCAGGCCTGGTGCACCTGGAGGTCACGTGAAGTGTCAAATTCTCACAGATGCCGGCAGGAGGTCCCGGGACAGACCCAGCAGGTGCCACTGCTCGACTGACCGAGATGACCGGCCGATGCACCACCAGCACCCCCTACAGTGCAAAACTGCGTTTTATCTGCCAGGCAAGTTGCTCGTTGTTGCGAGCGGCGCTCGTCTGCCCCCTCCGTTGTTGCTGGAGGGCGACTGCCTCCAACATGACTAGCAGCAGCGTCCTTTACGAGTACTGTCAGCGCTGGCCTTCACTGGGGTGCTACCTCGTCAACAGCACTTGCCCAACAGTCTGTTACAGGCTACACGGGGGTAGTGGGGAGGAGCTTTGTCTTTATGCGTTAGTGGTGTCAGAGTGCCGTGTGCTCCCCCCCCCCCCCTCACTTCGTTTCTCCTCTTCCATGGCAGTAACGATCTTGTCCACAATGAAAATCACCCGGCCATCCTCCGCCTTCTCGTTCAGGAATAGGGACAGGATTCTATCCATCTGTGCAGAGTTCACACACACAGCACAAGCCAGGCAAATAATCAATCTTGCACACACATGGAGGGTGCGTCAGCACTTCGGGAACGCACGCTGCGAAAGGGACGACCCACGGAATCGATTAGCACGGTTGTCTGCGTACGAGCGAAAGTTCGTACAAGAACACGATGCGATGTCGCGGCTGACAAAGGTTCAAAACTCAGTGCTTTTCTTTAACAGGTCAAGCTTCATTGGGGTCATAAATGTAATGGTCTCAACCGACTTTGCGCGTCAACCAACTCCAGGGTCACGTGGCAATAGGTGAAGCTCCAGCAAGTGCTTTGCTTAACCCACTACTCCCCCCCCCCACCTCCCGACCAAGTTGCACGAAGAGGCATCGGGGAGGGGGGGGGGATACGGTTACTCACGGTACCATGGCGACACAGCGACTACATGATTAGCAATGCTCTGGTACCCACACGGAACTCCGTACTAGACCAAGCAGTGGTTCTAGTACACGGTACCGCTTAGCGGGGCCTTTGGCCAGTATTAAAACACGGCGATTACCCGGCACCAAGATCGGCATTAGGAATTTCAAAAACAAAATTGCAGGCAGTCCCACCTCAGTCAGCCGTACTCATGGACCAGCTCACATGAGGGCTCACTTGTAGCTCGGGTTGCTCACGCCAAAATACGCGCATTGCATTTGTATTTTGGGCAATCTGGTCTAGCAATGGCGGCGAGACTACTCCATACAGAACGCCGCAGCTCTGGGTGTATGCCAATCCCGTTTCAACGCTGACATTATTTATCATTAGAGCATGTTCGCCACATGTATCGCACATGGTTAATGCAGTACAGTATCCGTTGATTTGAACATCTCTACGCAACTACCGTTTTATTGCCAGCAAGGGTAAAAACCTTTTATTTTCTCATCCCCCCAGAACGACTTTGCACGGTATCTCGCCATAATAAAAACACCACTTTATAGGCCACTCCATACTGCTATTCTCTCAACCTACCACGCGGTGCTCATGGAACCGCGTACTATAGCCAAAGATCCCCTGTACAGCCTTAGACTTGGGGCAAGTGCCGTTAGCGAGTAGCAGCACCTATGAGGGCCAGAACAGCACACACGAGGGGGTGGGTGATCAGCCCCACGCCCGGCCGCCTTTGTCTTCCCCAGTGGCGATTTTTTTTTTTTTACATGCATTACACCCAGGGTATTCATTTGTGGCACAAATCGCAGGGCAAAGACAAAGACCCCCCGTGTAGCCTCTAGCATTGGTTGAGGCAAGTGCTCTTAGCGAGCACCTATGAAGGCTGGAACGGTACACCAAGGGGTGGGGATCGCCAGCACTACGCCTGACTGCCTTCGTCTCCCCCAGGCACTCATTTGGGGCCGAGTTGACCTAGGGGAGGCCCAGGAGTGGTACAGATTAATTAATCGTCACCGGTGTTGGCCGCAAGCGGGAATCGAACCCGAGGTTGCTGGCTTCGTAGCACCAACCGCTACCGAATTTTAGACATCAGGTACGACGCACAACCAAAGCTGCCACCGCGTTCTCATCTTCGTCACGCGACCTCCAAAGTCACCTCGTCGCCCAGCCCTGGCGTCTCGCAGTACTGGAGCACCAGGTCGTCCATGAGGCTCTGGTAGACGGCGTGGCCTCCCGGCGTGCTGAACGCCTCCTGCTCGTTCTTGCGCTTCACGCCGGCGTACAGCTCCACCAGGCGCTGGCGGCACCTCTTTCCGGACGCCTCGTCAGCCTCCTGCACGATCTCACGTCGAGCTACCGCTATGAGATCCTGGGTGGAGGCGGTGGCACAGAAATCGTTGAAGATCATTGACGAGCAACAACAACGTTACTTGCCGTCATTTCAAATCTGCGAGCGAAATGAGAACGCCTCCTACGCCGCAGCAGACCGGGTTGGTTGCAGCTCACGGACAAACCGGTCTGCCGCGCAAGTGGCAGGGAAACGTTGTAGTCGGCAACAGCCTCCAAAAGGCGGCAACAGCCTCCAAAGGCGGCACACAAAGTGGAACCCGCAGGAGACTGCCGCTTGTCGTCACGCGGCGTGCACAGGACACGTCGCTTGCACCACGTCCAAGTGCACAGCCGCCGCATGCGGAGCGCCAACCTCAAACGGCGCAGCAGAGAACTTTTGAGTAGGACAAAATGGGCGAAGCTGCATTCACAGCCAGCGACAAACCAAGCAGGAGTTGAACTCTGGTAGCCACACGTTCAAGAGTACACACTTTAGCGAGTCCACTCGCCCCAACAAGTCACCACACCCCCGCTCACCACGAGTCTCATGGCATGCACCCCGTCCTTGTCGAGGACTCTGCGCGAGGCGAAGGCTTCCAGGGCCTCGCCCACCGCCTTGGCGTGGCGCTCGTCCACCTGCGTGATGAGCAGCGGTAGCCGGCGCATCGCCGTAGCCATGCGGCGGCGGTAGAGCTCCACCGCCTCGAGGCACACGGCGCTGTTGTGGACGTCGCAGACGACTGCCGTCGCGGACTCGATGCAGAGCGGGGAGCCAGCGCGCTGGAACTCGCACAGCTGCTCGGCCAACATCGTGAAAACTGCGGTCGGTGGGGGGGGGAAGAGCCACATGTCAGGGCGAGCCACAGCACCACAGCATTAAACTGTTATCAGGCAAAGTCCAACAAGTTGCATTTTTAAGAAGCGACCTGGCCATCACAAATGATTACCGCTCAACGAGGTGGTGGCTTAGCATCATCATGGAAATTTATGGCAGCAGCCAAACACCACAAAACACGTGGCAATGTCGATTTTAAAAATGTGGGAGGGGACCCGGGAGAAAATCCACGCGACCATGGAAAGGAGAGACACAGACTCCAAATAATACAGCAGCAGCAGCAGCGTCGTCAGGGTCGGGATGGAACCCACGGACTCCCTGGCGCACCCCGCAGGTGCGTTCCCGCCTGGCGTCACTCACGCGAGCCCGAGAGGGCTGCCCCCTGCACGCGCTTGGTGGTGTTGGCCTGCAGCACGTGATGAGCCAGCGAGGAGACGGCGTAGTGCAGAGCCACCTCCACCTGGCTCTCGGCCAGGCGCTCAGAGTCGGGAAGTCGGTCCGGCTGCACCGGGATTGGCAAGCCAAAGCAGTGGCGGCGCTGGGAGGGGGGGGGTGTCAGGGAAAGTGCCGTTAAGAGAGCACCTACGAAGGCCGGAACGGCACACGAGGGCGTGGGTGGCCAGCACCACGCCCGACCGCCTTTGTCTCCCCAGTGGCGATGTTTCCACACCACACCGGGTACTCATTTGAGACCGAGTCGACCTAGGAGAGGCCCAGGACCAGTTTAGATAATAGTCACTGGTGGCGATGGCCGCAAGCGGGGATTCGAACGCGAGCCGCCAGGTTCATAGCGCAGCGCTAAACACTACCCACTCCCCACACACAGCTCGGCCCCACACACACACGCCACTCACCCCCACAGGGAAGTGAGCAGAGAAGAGCTCGCGCCTGCGGTTGAAGTCGCGGGTGAAGTCCTCGGTGCCCTCCCTGCGCGTCCGCAGGCCCCGATCCAGAACATCGTTGGAGGAGTTTGGCTGTGGGCGGAAGTCCCAGAGGGCCACCGAGAAGCCCGGCAGGGGGCTGCCCTCGCCGAAGCGGTCCACGAAGACGGGGGGGGGCGGCGAGTAGTCGGGCAGCACCACAAAGCGTGGCAGCTCGTCCAGGAACCTCGGGCGCGGACAGGAGGGTCAAGGAGTGCAAGCAGCATGAGGGCAGCCATTGCAAGGAGCCGAGGCGCAAAGATTGTAAGGAATGCACGGAGGGGGGACAGATTGCAACGATTGCATAAGGGGGCATAGCAGCTCAGTGGGGCCTTACCTGGCAAAAAATTTTTATTTTTTTTACAATTTTTAAATCACGAGGCGCTCGCCAACAGCACTTTGCCCCGGGCGTGGAAAGCTACAACATGGGCAGATCAACGCGCGTGTGTAGCGGTCAGCTCTACGAACCCGGCGACCCGGGGGTTCGATTCCCGCTCACGGCCGACACCAGTGACGATTATCTGAACCGGTTCTGGGCCTCCCCTAGGTCGACTCGGCATCACACGAGTACCCGGTACGTAAAAAAAACCATAACCACTGAGGAGAGACAAAGGCGGCCGGGCGTGGTTGTTGGCCACCCACCCCTTCGTGTGCCGTTCTGGCCTTCGTAGGTGCTACTCGCCAATAGCACTTGCCCCAAAAGTCTATTGTGGAATAAAATAAATCGACATTTCGGGCGCAACACAAGCGTCCGTCATGAGGTTTTCCCACCTGATGGCGGACGCTTGTTGTTGTGTTGTGCCCGAAACGTCGCGATTCATTTTATACCTTACCGAAATAACCAAAGAGTATGGATTCCTGCAGTCACGAAAGCTTCAAATCAAGATTAGTCTATTATGGCTTATACGGGGGATCTTGGTCTTTGTGCAAGCGTCCGTGGCGGCCACACCGGGAGGATACCGCAGGTGCTCCATGGAGTCCTTGCTCGGCGAATTTGCGGTGCTCCAAACGAACTCGGCGCACAGCAGCATCGCGATAAGCATCAGGTAGTTGTCCAGCTCGGGCTCCTCCTGGCAACAACAACCTGGCATGATATGCGGGCGGGGGTGGGGGCAGCCAGCGCAAATGCACCCTCCTCCCTGGGTGTTGTTACTACAGTTGCCCGTTCAAAGTAATCGTAATTCACAATTAGCATTCATCAAGTGCCCTTGACGATGACAGTTCGAGAAAGCGCCGAAAATCATTCCTCACCCTGGTCTCTGCAAAATCCCTTTGTGGGTCTTGCCCCCACCACCGTGCCTCGCTTCATGTCTCTACGGTGTCGCCTTCGCCCTCTGTGCTCTCAATCCATGCCGTCTTCATCCTCAGCCCCCATCACCAGAACAAACTTCACCCTCCACATTAAGCAGTCGCCTTCACGCTCCTCGCCTCGAAACTCACTTGTCAACCCACTACTCCCCCCACCCCGCCTTCATATCCACCACATCATGCACCCCCAGGTTAAGAAACACTGGTCTAGACGCATCCAGCAGCACCCCAACGCCCAATGCCATTATGACGACGATGACGCTATGCAGTCAACCGCCACCGACTACTACCCGGCGCTGCCACGTCACTGCCGTTCGCTCGATCGCGTTGCATCCCGTTGGCCAATTGGCGTCATTAGAGCAGAACGGAACTGGGTAAAGGCCGCCCTTCATTTTCTCACAGAGCACTCATTGAATCCACTCGTCATCACGGACCGTCAGAATAAGAATAATTTATTATATGGCTATCACTCACTAACCCCATTCATTTCAATCCAATCATCATTGACTCAATTTCGCCACGAAAGTCACTTCACAAATTCACCACCATTAACATCCGTAAGTTGTACCGTTGTTAAATTCTGTACAAAAAGCCTTATTTAAAAAGGCGCTATTTAAATGCCTTTAAGGAGAACAAGATACCCACTTGCACCCCCCAGTGGTGAGCAAGAGTGGCATCTAACAGAGCGAGCGACGACAGAAACCCAACCCGGGTGATTCGGTGGCTGCGAGCGACTGAATGACCGACCGAGTCGATGGCTGTGGTGCAAGTGACCGAGCCAGTGGCTGTGGAACGAGTGACCAACAGTGCATGAGCGAGCAACCGACCCAGTCGGTAGCCAAGCACGTAGATTAGCGAGAGACCCGACAAACCATCCATGCTCCCTCACCTTGTTCAGACCGTCCAGCCTCTCGACATCCATCACCAAAATCGCTCCGTCAGACGGCACGGGAAGGGGCTTCACCCAGATCCAGATCCCTTTGGTGTCGTGCAGAGACGCAGGCCCAATCGCGAAGCCTGCAAAAAAAGTTTCACTATTGGGAAACCTCAGCAGCATCTAGGGGGCGACGGATCCAATGGGAGCCAAACGTCAGCTCCACGTTGCTCTCTAGAGACGAAGGGATTTAGAGAGCTACACTGTAGCAAAAGGGCTTGCGCCTTCGCCAATAACGCAGCGGTCTTAAAACGAACGCAGTAGAAATTTATTATCCACGCTAATCCATGGCGAGTACAGCCACGGAAAAGTCTAAACTATTCATTGTCCGCGGATCTATGCTAAAAACATAACAGGTCCCTGCAGGGTGGGCTGGTAGGAACATTGGAATTTTTCACTTCGTTAAAGTATTGAAAGGGGATGGACGGACGGACACATTAATCTATTGCAGGCTGGTACACTCAGTTTACAACTTCGTTCCTACCAGTATTAGGAGCAAAGTTTATCTGCCCGTTTCATAAACTTAAAATGAGCACAAAAAAACCTTACATTGATTCACAACTGACGCTTTCGATTGATTATTAAATGGCAACTACTGTACTGTCGTGGCAATCACGCAGATTTCAGACTGGAGAAATAATTACATGGTTTAAGCACCGTGTAACCTGCAATAAACACTTCTAAGAACAATGGTGCGCAACTGATTTTAGATGATCCATTTGAGCTTTCGGTAAAATCCACAAACGATTACATTACGTTCAAAATCGAAAGTGCACGGCAGTTAATCCGCATGCCGATAATAATCGAGAGTCTACGCTATAATTGTGCGGCGTTGCAGGCAACGGCTCTTATCTACAGCAGAGGCCACAGACATTGAGACCTCTGCATTGCAGCCTCCAACCTGGATTTAAACTGAACGGACATTTACGTCACCCGGCAAGGCCCCATACAGCCGCCACACGGCTCATTTTTTAGAAGCCGCCTGGCCATCGCAAAAGATCGTTGCTCAACCAAGGTGGCTTATCGTATTGAAATTTAAAACAGCTGCCAAATACGCCAAACGCACGATATGGATTCTAAAGCGTGCAGGGGAACAGGAGCCGGGGAAAAAAGTCACGCGACTACGGGGAAACGCATGCAAACTGCAAATACAGCGTTCACGACCTACACTCCCATAGGGGTCCAGCGTCAATCACCGGGGCATTTCTCTGCTCATAGCGCCAGACTAAGGCAGGTGGGCACTCCCTCTACCCCCCCCCCCAACACGCACCTGGGTCCTTGACACCCGCGAAGAGGTTGACGAGGAAGTCCTTGCCGCCCCGGTAGCTGCCCCCCACGGCGCACACCACGATGGGGGCCGTGACGTCAGCGAGCAGGCGGGACGCCTCCGGGCAGACGAAGAGCTTCCCGTGGTCGTCGGGGCGGATGAAGGGGACGAGCTGCGGCGGCAAGTACGTCTCGTCGCTGGGGCTGCCGAGGAGCGTGGGGCGAGACGGCGGGTCCCAGTTCAGCCCCCGCCGCGTGCGTCCAAACGCCATCGTGGACAAGGGTCTCTCGCGGGTCCTTCTCGTCCTGTTGGGTCACTCGCTTGCAATGGAATTAGATTACACGTCAACCAGCCCGGTTGTGGTGGCGAGCATGGGTGGGGTGGATGCCTTGCCCCCCCCCCCCCCCCAATAACCACCATGAAAAAAAAATCAGGTTTCTGAGCATCACAAGTACAACAAACACTTAACGCAGTTTTGGTAACAATTAAGGGAGCAGCAGTAGCGGCTGTGGATAGCCATTTCACGGAGATAAAGGCATCAATTATACAGGGTGCTTAAAAAAGTGAACACTTCTGAAAATTTGCAACAATAGCACGAGAAATGTGCCGCCTCCAGGCTCTGGAGACCACCTGGAGAAGATTCCAGGCGTGTTGACAATGATGGCGAACAAGCGGAGACTTTGAAGCTATTAACGTACATTATTACAGGGATGTGCAGTCAGGGGAGGCAGGGGTAGGAAGAGCCTCACCTGTCATTCTCCAATGAAAATAGCCGTTACAAAAAGTTAAGTAGATACGATTTTTCCATCGATTTGTTTACAAATGTCATTTCTGTACGATTCCAATCATTTTTAGTCAAATCGCCAAATATGCAGAGCTCCGCTGCAAATACAGGAAGAGACGAGAGGTGAGGCAGCAACGAGCTCAGCCTCCCCTCTGATTGCGCAATCCCTCAGTAACTGGATGGAGCGCGGGAAATAAGCGCGTGCCTGTTACCGTCTCTCTATGTCACCAATGTAATGTTTGTAGACCCCTTCATTTCATGTCCTTGCCTTACATACTCCAGGTAACTTATTTCACGTATGTGTATAAATATATTGAGGCTCGCTGGTCTCGTCATGAAACTGCAATGAAAAAACACCAGGAGAGGCAGCTATCACATCTGCCTCACACCCCTAAGCGAGGCCGCACACACCCCTAAGTGAGTGAATCTGGCTCCGACACTAGCCAGTGCCTCCCCATCTATTGGCCGCACGTCACCGATTTGTTATCATGCTCGTACTGTATTATTCGTTCTTTTTCCACAAAAAAGTCCCATATACCTGTTAACATTTTTTTAAGACGCTGTACATTGCAAAAGGAGGCAACTACCAACTGCAGAGCCGGTCGTGGGCTGCGGTTTTTTTGTTGTTGCAAAGATCGGAGAGCCACCTACAGCACTAAATGTATAGGGGGGGGGGGGGGGGGGGGGGGGGACGACACATCCCCCCTCTCCCCCCCCACCCCCCCATATACTGCTATAAAATAGATTTCTATTTATACGATTTTGGTTATGGTTGTACTTTATCAAACCCGAATCTCTGCCATCTCATACAATGACACAAGGGTAAAAAAGTAAAAAACAGAGCAATGTAATACAATACACTATTTTAGACATTGTAAAAAATATATAAAAAGTCCATCCTATGTGTTAGTGATTTTTAAATATTTAAAGCAGCAAATTCATTTTCAAATTTTGATTTTTTTTTTCTGGTGGGGGGGGTGGGGGGGAAGAACCCCCAGACCCCCTCCACGGCTACGGCCTTGGGTAGCAGCACCAACCCGCTACACGACACTCACACCCCGAGCTACACGGACCGATATTCACACGGACGTCAACATCGCCCAGAATCGGCTTATATCGGACACCAAATCGACGCCACGGCAGCCCGGGTGCCGCTCACCTGCAGATGCCTCTCCCCCACGTGGTCAACACCGCTAACAAGCTCGCCGCGTGGGCGGAGTTCTATTAATAGGCGGGCAAACCAATCAGCAGCGGCCCTCCCCCCCCCATATACATCCGGCGGAAGTCCCTATATGAGCAGGTAATCAAATCCAATTCTGAATATCTTAAGCGTGCAATTCGCCTCTTTATCGTTCATTTCTGATTGGTTGGAGATCCATCGACTCGTGGAGAAATCCGTGGACAGAGACACAGACTCACACAGAGACACAGACACAGAGAGACAGACTCACACAGAGAGACACAGATACAGAGAGAGACAGACTCACACAGAGACACAGAGAGACAGACTCACACAGAGACACAGACACAGAGAGACAGACTCACACAGAGAGGCACAGACACACAGAGACACAGAGAGAAAGACTCACACAGAGAGACAGACTCACACAGAGAGACACAGACACACAAATACACAGACTCACACGGAGAGACACAGACACAGAGAGACACAGAGAGACACAGACACAAAGAAACACAGACACAGAGAGAGACACAGACACAGAGAGACACAGAGAGAGACAGACTCACACAGAGACACAGACACAGAGAGAGACACAGACGCAGACTCATACAGAGGGACACAGACTCACAGAGAGACACAGACTCACACAGAGAGACACAGAGAAAGACAGACACACAGCGAGACACAGACATAGAGACATAGACTCACACAGAGAGACACAGACACACAGAGAGACACAGACACACAGAGAGACGCAGACACACAGAGAGACACAGACTCACACAGAGAGACACACACATGGAGACGCAGACTCACAGAGACACAGACTCACACAGAGAGACACAAAGAGAGACAGACACACAGCAAGATACAAACTCATACAGAGAGACACAGACACACAGAATGACACAGAGAGAGACACAGACGGACACAGAGAGACACAGACTCACACAGAGTGACACAGACTCACACAGGGAGACACAGACTCATACAAAGAGACACAGACTCGCACAGAGAGACACAGACTCACACAGAGAGACACAGACTCACACAGAGAGACACAGACGCACACAAAGAGACACAGACATAGAGACGCAGACTCACAGAGACACAGACTCACACAGAGAGACACAGAGAGAGACAGACACACAGCGAGATACAAACTCATACAGAGAGAGACAGACAGACAGAATGACACAGAGAAAGACACAGACGCACACAGAGAGACACAGACTCACACAGAGAGACACAGACACACAGAGAGACACAGACTCACACAGAGAGACACAGACTCACACAGAGAGACACAGACTCACACAGGTAGACACAGACTCATACAAAGAGACACAAACTCACACGGGCAGACACACACTCACACAGAGAGACACAGACTCGCACAGAGAGACACAGACTCACACAGAGAGACACAGATTCACACAGAGAGGCACAGACTCACACAGAGAGACGCAGAGAGACAGACACACAGCGAGATACAAACTCACACAGAGAGACACCAAAGACTCACACAGAGTGACACCACACACTCACACAGAGAGACACAGACTTGTAGAAAGACACTGACTCGCATAGTGTCCCCAATGAATTAGTGTGTCTTTATGACTCATAAAGACACTCAGACTCACAGCGACACGTAGACTCACACAGAGACGTAGACTCACAGCGACACACAGGCTCCCATAGGGTCCAGTGTTTAATCCGTGGCGATTCTGGGAGTGCATCTTAATATCAACACAAAGAAAAAACCTGCCAGGCTTTGTTTGAACTAATCCTGGTGAGCTGCACGGATGTTTGTAAGCAATGATTGGTTTCAACATGTCGTGTCTCATCAGCAGTTAGGCTTTGTTTGAACCAATCCTGGTGAACTGCACGGATGTTTGTAAGCAAGGATTGGTTTCAACATGTCGTGTCTCATCAGCAGCGACAGGCTTTGTTTGAACCAACCCTGGTGAGCTGCACGGATGTTTGTAAGCAAGGATTGGTTTCAACATGCAGTGTCTCATCAGCAGTCAGGCTTTGTTTGAACCACTCCTGGTGACTGTGGGTCTCTGTGGGTGTCTATGGGTCTGGGTGCCTGTTGGGTCTCTGTGTGTGTCTATGAGTGTCTGTGTCTCTGTGGGTCTCTGTGGGTCTCTATGAGTGTCTGTGTCTCTGTGGGTCTCTGTGGGTGTCTATGAGTCTGGGTGCCTGTGGGTCCCTGTGTGTGTGTATGGGTCTGGGTGCCTGTTGGTCTCTGTGTGTGTCTATGAGTCTGTGTCTCTGTGGGTGTCTATGGGTCTGGGTGCCTGTTGGGTCTCTGCGTGTCTCTATGAGTGGCTGTGTCTCTGTGGGTCTATGTGGGTCTCTATGAGTGTCTGGGTCTCTGTTGGTCTCTGTGGGTTTCTATGAGTGTCTGTGTCTCTGTGGGTCTATGTGGGTCTCTATGAGTGTCTGGGTCTAAGTGGGTCTCTATGAGTGTCTGGGTCTCTGTGGGTCTCTATGAGTGTCTGGGTCTCTGTGGGTCTATGTGGGTCTCTATGAGTGTCTGGGTCTCTGTGGGTCTCTGTGGGTCTCTATGAGTGTCTGGGTCTCTGTGGGTCTTTATGAGTGTCTGTGTCTCTGTGGGTCTCTGTGGGTGTCTGTGGGTCTGGGTGCCTGTGGGTCTCTGTGTGTCTCTATGAGTGGCTGTGTCTCTGTGGGTCTCTGTGTGTGTCTATGGGTCTGGGTGCCTGTGGGTCTCTGTGTGTCTCTATGAGTGGGGAGCGATAGTGTAGCGGTTAGCGCGCTGCGCTATGAACCTGGCGACCCAGGTTCGATTCCCGCTCACAGCCAACACCAGTGACGATTATCTGAACCGGTTCCGGGCCTCCCCTAGGTCGACTCAGCCTCAAATGAGTACCTGGTGCGGTGTGTAAACATTGCCACTAGGGAGACAAAGGCGGTCGGGCGTGGTGTTGGCCACCCACCCCTTCGTGTACCGTTCCGGCCTTCATAGGTGCTCGTTAACAGCACTTGCCCCTACAGTCTGTTAAGGCTATATAGGGATCTTTGTCTTTGTCTTTGTCTGTGTCTGTGTCTGTGTCTCTGTGGGTCTCTGTGTGTGTCTATGGGTCTGGGTGCCTGTGGGTCTCTTTGTGTTTGTTGAACTTCCTTTGGCACCACAAACTAAATACATAATTACTTAATACACACATAATACTTATGTATTATGCCAATAATGTAATATATATAGCCAACAGTTAAACAAACGTCAGAGTTCTATGCAATATATTGGTGAAAATTAAACCAACCGTTAAGGCTCAACCAATACCAAGACAATTTCACGCCACGGGAGGAGTGAAAGTGGTGTCTGATCATTGATTGGTCGCCAGCCGGCCATTGTTACGAATTGGTAATCACGTGACCGTGGCACGTGCGCCTCGTGACCGCTGCACGTGCCCCTCGTGATTTAATTCGCAATGGGGACTCGGCCGTGGGGGCTATGGGGCCGTCCATAAATTATGTCACGCGATTTTGGACGATTTCTGACCCCCCCCCCCCTCGTCACACGGCGTCACAAAAAGTCAGAACCCCCCCTCAAATATGACGTCACAAAGCTCTGCCCCCCCCCCCCAAAATAAATCATGCTTCAAATCGCTTTAAACTATTGTCGATGTAGTGCGTATTTAATATGGCGCTGCACTCTGATGTTGGAGGAGAAAAGATTTATTAAAGAGTCTATTTAATTAAGTAGAACGTGTTGTCTGTATTTATTTAAAGTTGCGCATGTTGATGTGACGTCACATTTCTCACCCCCCCCCCCTCGTCACACATCGTCACAAATGTCTGACCCCCCTCCCCCCCCCAGGTGCGTGACGTCATTTATGGACGGCCCCTATCGCGCGGGCTACAATTCACCCCTGGGGGCAGCGTGGGAGTCGGTGGTGTTCGAGGCATTCGCTGCGAGGCGGCGCCAATCCACTGCTGGATGAATGGGAACTCTCTGACCGTGTTTCTTCAACCCCCACGCGTTGCCATTTGCGGGGTTGCTTGATCGGCTGGGAGATTCAAGGACTCGCGGGGAGACTACGGTGCCGGATGAAGCTCGTGCGGGGCCTGTAGCATCTGTTATAAAGGGACCCTGAATGAGTTAAATGATGACGTCACCCTGCTGCTCTATTTAAGACCGAGAGCAAGTGAGGGCTTTCCCATTCTGGCGAATTGCCCGATGATGCTGGATGTAATTACCAGCGAAACTTCACAGTACTCAAACTGTAAATGTTGTGGATTCACTCTTCAACACACCGGTGGGCTAAAGTAGTGAACTATCAACGTGACACTTTTTTGCTGATTGGCCGTGTCGGGTGGTGGAGGGTTACGACGCATTTAAAGATAACGCAATCTCACCCAAAAACCTTTATTATGGACCCTGAATATATTTTTTTGTTATATTAAAACACACAATTTTTAACTTGCACAGTAAAGTAATTGTATTTTTTTATTTGCTACACAGCCCAGATAATACGACACATCGCGAACCTTAAACACCCGGCCGTTCGTAAAAGTCGAAGGCGGTACAGTACTATAGTAATAGAGCAAGTGCAGAATCACCGAACCGGAATTGATAGCTTGAAAGCGTTTAGCGCAGGGCCCTTGAAAGTGCGGGGCCCGGAGGCTTTGTTGCTACTTTTTCTCCGAGGGTAATCGGGCACTGGGAGAGAGCCATGGGGCTTGACAGGCTGATTTAAAAGGGAACTGCTGCGAGTGAGCAGCACCTACGGAGGTCACCGGCACTGTGGCACGCGATGGGGTCGGTGGCCAACAACCACACCCGGCCGCCTTTGTCTCCCTAAGTGGCGCTGTTTACGCACCTCGCCGGGTACTCGTTTAGAGGCCGAGTCGACCTAGGGGAGGCCCACGAACGGTTCCAATAGATGGCTCCGGCATTGACGTCACTACAACAGGGTTACCCACAATGCAATGTGCCAGCAGTATGTTTGTAATTTAGTAGTAGTAAATATTTTGTGAGCATTGAAGGAATTGTCTCTGACTCAGCAGCTACTTTGCGCGTAATCCACAATCTGTGTGTATGTTGAACTTCTTTG